AGAAAGCTTGACACTAAAATAAGGGCTGTTGCATGGTGTCAACAAAGCACTTTCATCTCTTCATTGTTGTTTGTGAATACTAAGAAAGACAGACTTCAAGGTCCTTTGGTGTAGTTGAGTGACACTTACTTATTTTTTACCCCTGATTATAAACCTGTTATTATATAACAAGTTCAGGAAAAGGGACACTTTTGTGCTATTTTCCATGTACAGAAACATAAGTAATTTTTAGTACACATGTTCATAAGTGAAACTTTAAATACATTGAAAAACAAAAGTAGTGGTCCATCCATATAGACAATTGGTTGTGTGTAGACAACAATCTCTTTTGGGAAGTCTATTCACCTTTTCATGTTTTTTGTTTTTTTATATATATATATATAACATTGGCCTTTTAACAGAAGAAAACAGGAAAAAATAATATAAACTTCAAAGTGGTGATATATCAATTCCAGTGTATCACGTTTGTATCTTTCTTTTTAAACATATTTTACATGTGAAGGATATTTTATCATAGTTTGTTGTTTGGATGACTATTTCTACAATTCTCTTTTGACAATTATTTGTTAACTTGTGCTTTATTGGTTTTGTTCCTTAGCATGTATATGAATTATTGTAACTACCACTTTAATTTCTTGTATTTCGTTCATTTTCAAAATGTATTTGGCTTTTATTCAGTCATTTAGACTTAACCCATTATTTCAAGTTGGTAATTTTCCTTCTTAAAGCAAGTTTCTTCTTTACACTAAAATTGATATGAAATTGAATTCCTAACTGCCATATACAAAGAGGGTGACTCCTCTCCCACTACATAAATATCAGTTTAACATAACTTTGATAAAAGTATCATATTTATATTTTCTTTATATGTGCTGTGAAATGGACTGGCAAGTAATGTACACTTGGCTGAAAGGTAAATAGACAGATATAACTTCACCTGCTGTCATCTGATTTTTTTTCATTAATTTTTCAATGTTATGTATGTATGTGTTGCGCATGTGTGCCGTTTCATATTGTTGTGCAATGTTAATCTCATGTCATGAAACAAGAATATCATTTTATTGAATAACATGATGGCAGTTTGTTATCAATTATTGTATTTTAACAGTTATTCATATTATTTAAAATCTAAGAAAAATAAAACTGCTTAGCTAATGTTTTAGAGCAAGTTTTCAGTATAGAAGTTTGGAAGAAATCCAGTCTTGTGTATTACATAAATGTTCGGAGCATCACTATCCATATATTTTTTTGTATGTGTGAAACCTACAATCCAAGACATGTTCTGAAATGCATGTAGTAATGAGCTTTTTGGTAATATCTATATTAAATTTTTATATTTACTGCTTGTATTAATATAATTTAAGTTACTTGTCTCAACTCGTATTACCAGCATCTTTCATAAAAAGAGAAAGTAAAAGTCAGTAAGTCTCTTCTTAATGCATATCAGCAGTGAGCATTTTGGAGTTTTAATTAGTTTTACATCCTCAGTGGCCAATATTCTTCATATTACTTCTTTTTAAAATCTTGATTTATCCAAACAAATTATATCTGTAAATTTTTAGTGTACTTGACTGATGGTGGTATGGAAGACTGATACAAATATTTTGTTTAAATTTTTCTCTTTATTTCAGTAGCAGATTTAAGAATATTCAGATATAGAAAAATATACAAATGTGTATAAAACTTCAGATATTAGATAGCACTGATTAAATGTACATTACTAAGAGAAAAAAATCATAATTCTGAGGTAAAGGCAACAGTCCAAAGGAGATACATTTTATAAAAAAAAAAAAAAAATGTCCATCAAGATAGCTAGACAGAAGATTATTATTAAGTTGGATTATTATATAAATATTACCATCAAACTGATATTAATTATATATTAAAAGGTTTCAGTATTATGGAATGCAGAACAAATACTATAGCAAGTGTTGGGGCTAATCAAAATAATGCACTTGGAAAATATTCTTGGGAGAAAATGCAGTTACATTCTGGAAGACCTGTTTACTTCATGTTTTGTCTGTAATTTTTAGGATATGTTTTTTTGTTTTGTTTTATATATATATATATATATATATATACATCAAGATTTTGTAGGTTTACAAAATTGACCCATTATACAGTATATCACTTTGTAGCTGGTGTTATGTTGAGAGCAGGAGTTCTTACTGTATATTGTACAAAGGTTGTAAATAGTCATGTTCAAATATGACTTTGTAATGGTAAATTTCCAATATTCAATAAAACCAAAACGTTAGAACAACATTTTATTACAAAAGAAAAAAAATCTAACAAGTTGGACTTGCAAGACGACTGAAATGTATTCAAGTGCAGTATGATACTGCCGTGATTCATTTTATTGGCACACTTCATTTCATAAATCAGTGAATGCATAACCAACACAACAGGACACTCTTTTTTTCCAGTGAAATATAGTTTAAAGGATATGAAAAGGAATTGGCCTTATCTTCTGTACACAAAGATTTTAGCACATTTCTCTTTTATTTCCAAGATATGTACAGAATGAAAACTTCAGAAGCTTTACACTGTCAGGAACTGATTGCCTCACAGACCTTGGTAAAGTGCTTCAAAAATAGAACTTCTGCAAGTGAACAAAAGAATAACATTAAATACAAACACTGATTACAAAAAAACTATAAAAATACTTTGGGCATGGAATTCATTGCATCTGACTATTGCTAAAGAAAATATAATCCCATTTGTATTTTACCATTTTAGAACCTGCCAGACAATCATGTAGTGGTCTACATACAAGATAAATACGAAAACTTCACCAAGAACAGTTGTAGCATTGAGACAATGTGAGAACATGTATGTACAATAGGCAGGATAATTCAATGGTGGAAAAAAGGGTATGTGGAACTTAAAACATATCCTGTCCTAAAAACTGTACATATTTACAAGTGTCCACAAATTAAAATAAAAGGATGGTTTTACTACCTTCCCATATCAGGCAATTTTCATTCAAACTAAAAGATCATCCTTAGTTTTAATCAGCTATCATGTTTTTTCTATATATATGTATTTTTATTAAATAATGAGGTACTGCTCTGACTGCAGTAGCACAGTAGTGAATAAACTATGGAACTTCCACAGGAAGAGAACTTAAAAACTAAATGAAAGATGCCTTTGTCTTAAGTACTGAACATTTCCTTATATTCAAGATTTTGCAATAGATTCTAACTCAGTCAATCATGGTAACTGGCAGCTTAAAATAGTTCACTGGCACAAGTTATTCTCACAGGTAAGCCCTGGCAAATGGAGATAGTAGTTCTCTGCAAACTTTTCAGTTAGAAGTTACAACTGAAACACAAGAGACTACAGCTCCTAATTGAGTGTCACATCTTCTGCCTGTTGGTCCTCTCTTAAACTTCAGCAGATAAGTACTTTGTTCTAAAAGTTGGACATATACATCAACTTATTTCTGAAAGGAAAAAAATGTTTTTTTAGATGCAGTAAATTAACAAACTAAAGTTTGGTTTTGAGATAAGAACTTGAACATAGACTTCAATTCAAAGAATATCACCTCAATATTAATCCTATGATTTTAGATGAAACACTGTAAACTTGAGCATGTTATATCACACAAAGAGTAACTAATGAGGCCCATATACATTTTCGAGGGAATGCACGTACAAACTACAAATTACCTGAATTCAAATCAGAAGGACACATGTTATCTCAGCTAACAAACACCTTAGTATCAGGAACTCTGGTCTGAACAGTATCACCTGTTATCAGCTCATCCATTCCATTCTGAAAGGTAAGTGTATTCACTGAAATAATTCCAAACAATTACAAACTAAGTTAATCCTTGTTCTGTGTTTTCATAGTTGTGCAATGCACAATTTAAAAAAAATTTAACTTGCAAATTTATGGAAGTATTAGTGATCACAATCAACCAAAGGGAAAAAAAAATATCAAATACTATATCCTTACAAGTAAAAGTTCATTTAAATCAGCAACCTCCAGCACTGATGAAGTAATGAGAAAATAAGCAACTCTTAGCCCAAATTTTCTGAGCAATATCCAAAATGCCTCAACTCATATAAAAATAGTCTATGAAACAGACAAAATTTCTCCTAATACTCAGATTTGATACTAAAACCTTTCAATAGTTTTTGCCCCTAGAAAAAAATATTTTTTGAAGTATTAGCATGATCTACACTTTCATGATCCTTTCTCATACCTGTAGACCCAATCCTCCTAGGTTGTCCATCATGTCTTCTCTGTAAATACAAAAAGATACATATTAATGTTAAATAGGCACATTTACCAATCTGACATTTATTATAGATAAAATGAAACAGAAAAGAAATACATGTCAGACATTCAAGACATGGTGACACAATGTCACAACCTCATAATCATTCATTTCAAATGGGCCAGTATGTTTCTAGACGCTGGTTGCTACGGATCTCTTTCTTCACCATCACTTGTTCTAGTTCCTTTTATAATCAGATGTGTATTTTAATAGCACATAAAATAGTAGATAGAGAGATTTAAATATTTTCATAATGTAACAACCAAGTAGTATGACTGCTTTGGCTTAGTTGATTTAAAGCTCCATCCAATCAACTATAGTAACAAAAGCACACCTAAAAAATCTTGATCACACAAGATATCCAATTATGGCCTACCTTCCTATGCACATCCTATATCAAAGACCCAAAGTATTGGAAAAACAAGCTGAGGCTGCTGGGGCCTGCACTGGTTCTCCGACGACCGAAATTATTCTAACGGTAAATGCCACGATCTGCAACTCACCTCGAGTGGTTTGTGTCTGAGTTGTTATTAATGCAGTTGTTATTGGCACTGTAAAAAAAGGAAAAAAAATCCACCTGTGGGACTGTCTGAACCTAAATGATTTTGAGGTAATGAAAAACTCATTACACATCTCTTGGTGAGGCCATAACCCTATTGTTTTCCGCATCATGGTCAGATACCAAAGACTTACTCCAAGCTTGAGCTTAGTCTGGTCTGGTTCATATAATTAGATTACTTACAACTCCTCATTGTATTAATAATTATTTTTTACAGTGTGGCCTCTCGCTAAAACAAATAAAACTATAAACTGATTTGCACTTCTCCATAACAATACTGCCATAAGCAACCTCCATACTCTTTTCAAATATCCCTTTTTCTGTTTAATAGCAAATAGTTTCTCCAAAGAAAGGATACAACTCAATCTTATAATCAAACTCAAGCCAGGATAAGACATTAGGATTGATCAAATGCTGATTCATAGAAACTTAAACCATGTAGGTAAACTACAGTTATGGCTTCACCAATTATTTTCCCTTAAGCCGTACAAATATTCATGTTCGAAATAGTCTTATCGTGTCAGAGATATAATCATAGACTTTCTATCAATTTCATAACCACTTATCAGACAATGTCTTACATGTCTAATAAATTTACACATATCTTCAAGAAAGAAAGAAAGAAAAAAAACAAAAAAAAAAACATAAAAAAGGAGAAAAGAACAAAAATGTAATACTGTACACTGCATGTCATCATAAATTTCCTCATGGGGCTTGAGTCATTTATCAAGAAATCCTTGTAAGAGACTTCAAAAAACTTGATTCTCCTTGTGTAAGCACATACAACATTGGCCAACAATTGCCAAATGAGACATTAATTACATTATAGGGCATTCCCCTTCCTAATATGGAAACAAGTCATGACCCAGGACATGCTTAAACTCAGGCCTCTCTCCATTCACAAGACACACAATACACAGTCTTAAAAATCCCAACAGGTATCGCTTATGAGTGACTGACTGCTATTCCAGCCCAAAATCTAAAGTAAAGTTACTGAAAAAATACTCAAATGCTATCAGGCAAACTAAACCTCACAGGTACTTACTGTCCTTTATGGAACCGACCACCTTCTCCTCGTATTCTGTTCATTGCATGTCGGTGCCTAGATTCATGCAAGTATTTCTGAAAAGAAAATACGAAACGTGAGTACCTTCTTCATTTTACTTTAAAAAATATAATTAACTCTAAAAGAAAATAGAAAAAAGCACTTGATGTGTAATTTAGTGGAATTTATACATAACAATTCTGAAATTCATTGCAAATTGCAGATGAATTAGCATCTACCATGACATTAATTAAAACTATAAAACTTATGGCAACTTTCTGATGAATACTACAAAGTCATTTCAGCAAATAACGAAACGTGCATGAGATCAGAGTACTAAGTACCTACACAAATGACAACAATTTACAATATAACATTATAATGAAAATGTCAATATTATTTCCATGACAAAGCAATATACTTACTTTACGTTCCTTTGGTATGCGACCCTCTCCTTCAAGCTTTGCTCTTGCTTGTCTTCTCTTCAATATCCGATTGTATTGCTTAGCATTAACATAAAGTGGTTCCTCCTCCAGCAACTCAGGACCAGGAAGCGGAATTCGTTGCAACTGTGCAACACTTCCATTGCCAACCTGCAGAAAGAGTACCATTATTTACCTAACAAGACATTTCAAAATTAATACACTATAGAAAATGTAATATACAGTAGCTACAGATACATTTTGACAACCAAAACAAAATCAGTTCAGAATAATGTCACACTGCAAGCTGGTTACTTTTGTTGTAGGTAAAAGGATGCTTCTCTTTTTGAGATCATATAGTTAGAGTCTAGCACTTACTTTTTGCAAGAGAATCATCTCCAACATATAGATTAAGGTTTAGTTTTTAACCCATTGCTAAGAAGGATGCTAATACATGTCATGCCCACTGTGAGTTTAGTTTATTAACTGTTTACACACAGATGTTTCCACAAGTGCTTAGTATTGTTTATATAATAATCATAAAGCCATTAATAATAATAAAATCTATATCAGCCCATTGTACCTGGTTGACATGACTGTCAGGTAATGGGGGGGGGAATAATAAATAAATAAATACATACATAAATAAATAAATAAATAAAAGGTCTGTGGGCCAGTGTAATTTATGGAAGTGTCATCATGAAAAATTTGGCTGAAGGGCTATGGTGATAGGAATGGCTCCCCATAGAGGGAGATTGGATTCAGGGGGTATTTAGGATGGGGCTTTTGCATCATTTCTCACAGTTAATGAGATTAGAGTATAGGATGTGTTAGAGTATATTGAATGATAGGAGAATATTTTAAAAATGACAAATGATACACTGTTACTTATTGTTTTTGTTATTGCACAAATTACCTAGAGATATGAAGTCTCAGCAAGGAAAAAAATTCATACAGCATATCAACTGACAAATATAAACCTCGGAAAATGGCAAAAAAGCAAGATAACAACACTGCAATAGGGAGGCAAGCAGTCTTGACACCACAAACGAGTGTTCAAGTGAGTTGCTCCTACAATCCACACATTGGGGAAAGTTGTCACTTATATGAGTCAAACACCCAGATTTTGGGCTTCATGAAGGCCACAAGGCACCGAGATCCAACAAGTTCATAGCATCAGAAAGAAAGAAAGGAAGAATAATGAAACTCATGGTAAGGGGAAATTAGGTTAGGTCACATATGCCTACTAATCGACTTCTTGGTGGCTGAAAACTTGTGGAACCATCTAAAACATTTCACAAAACAAAATTACACTGGACATTACATGTTCCTGGCTGCAATGGATTAACAATGGCAAAGTAAGAAAATATTACAGTGCCAAGTCAACCAATTATAAAGGGAGAATTTAGATGATCAGGATCCTATTTTTGCCTAACTTGGCCAGTAGCACATGGTGTTACAATATATTGAATATAAAAATATAAAGTACGATAAATAGCACAATATTGTTTTTTGTTGTTATTGTACAGGGTTGTAGATTACCTAGAGAGACAATACGGAGTCTGCTTAATGAAAATGTGGCTATAAATCTTACTGATATCACAATGGTCATATTGTCTGTTTCTTAATGTGAAATAGTGGGCATATAAATCTTTACTGATATACAATGGTTCATAATTTACGACATGGCAACAGAGTGGATGGTCTGAAGTGAGGGGCTCGCCTGCGAGGGTGGCGGGCCTAGCGGGAACAGATGGAGGCGCCCTGTAACAAAAGAGTTAGAAGGGAGAGAAAGGAGAAACAGAAGTATAGAGAGAATGAGGAGGAAAGACAAAGAATAAAAAAAAAAAAGCAGGAAGGTGGCTAGAAGGGGAAAAGAGGTGCAGTCGAAAAGAAGCGCAAAAATGGGCTGAGACGAGATCCTGTGTCTCTGACGCGTCTCTCTGAGGACTCTTCGTCTGACTGTCTTACCTCCCGCTTCATGAGGTGTTGCGAGGGAGAGACCTCCGTTCCTTTCCCTCTCTCCCCCCGACTTTGCAGAGTCTTGGTAGTATCGAAATGATGGTAGTTAGGAGAGGGAGAGGAGGATCGCCCTTAGCAGCCCTGTCCCATCCCCGCGCCTGTGCCGGGTAAGCCAGAGTTTCTAGGTGAGGAGGCCCACAGCTGACGATTGGGACAGAGCGGATGACAAAGAGAGCCCCAAGTTCTGTCCTGTAGAGATGGATCGGGGCATGAGGAGCTGAAGCCATTGAAACCCTGTTGAAATGAAAAGAATTGAATAAAAATGACGAGACGGACGAGGCGAGAGGAGGAGCGAGAGAGAGGGGATGGGACGATGAGAGAGGAGAGCGGATAGAGAGGAGGAGTGAGAGAGGGAGAGTGAGAGAGAAGGGAGAGAGGAGAGGAGAGGAGAGGATAAGAGAGAGAAGATGGGAAAGAGAGAGGAATGGAGAAGTGGAGTGAAGGGAAGTGGATGAGGAAAAGAGAGAGAGAGGGGAGTAAGATGGAGAGAGAGAGAGATGAGAGGGAGAGGAGAAAAGATGGAAGAGATGAGCGGAGAGAGGGAAGAGAAAGAATGGAAGAAGAGAGACAGGTGGAGAGAATAGATAAGGAAAGAGGTGAGTTATTAAGAGAGGAGGAAGAAGCAGAGAGAGAGAAGAGAGAGAGAGAGAAAGAGGAGAGAGAAAAGCTGAGAGACGAGAGGAAAGAGGGGATGGGAGAGAAAACGAGAAAGAGGAGAGAGAAAAGATAAAGGAGGAGAGAAGGGAGGAAGAGAGGAGAGGAAGAGGAAAGAGAGAGAGAAGATGGAAGAGAAAGAAGAATGAGAAAGATGAAAGATGATTGAATGAAGGAAAGGAAAAGAGATAGGATTAATGGAGAGAAGAAATGACGTAGGGAGCGAAGATGAGAGAGAGAAGAAAGCATGAGAGAGAGGGAGAGATGAAATGGAGAGATGAGAAGAGAGAACGAGTGAGGAGGAGAGATATTGACAAAAAGATAGCAAGACGAGAGAATGAGATGTCTATCCTGAGAATACTTGATAGTTCATATCATATATTATTCTATAACAAGAGATGAATCATTTACTAAGAGAATAACTATCTATCGAATGTAAATTAACTGTGCTTGAAATGTAATCTTTAGATCAGGCTAGTATGATTCGTAGCAAATGATCACATATGACGTTTTGGATGTGGAGCTACGAACCCGGCATGGAAGTTGAGTAAAGAGAATTAGCAGGTGATTGCATCTTTTGACTATCGGATGATCAGACGGAGCGAGTGGCGGAGAGCGATTGTGGAAGTTGACTTCTTATTTTTTAATGAAGTAATGAGATTAGATTTCTAAAATTGAGATGAGACATGTACTATATTAACCCACAAAGGATGATGAAAATGCTTGATTGAAGTGAGAGAGAGGAGAATGTGAGACGAGAAGGGAAAGGAGAGAGAGAATGTATGAGATGATGAGATGGGGCGTGAGAGATTGATGAGAATGAGGAGAGATGGAGAGTAGAGAGAGTGACGGATGATGTAAGAGCACACGAGAGAGAAGATGAGGGGGGGGGGAGAATAGGGAGCGGTTAGTTCTAGGAGAGGAAGGGGGGAGAGAGGAGAGAAGGCGGGGAAGATGAGAAGAGAGGGGCCTTAACAGAGTAGGGCGGGTGGAGGAAGGGTGAGAAGAGAGAGGGAGAGGAGAGAGAAGGGAGCGGGGGAGGGGGGGAGGGAGAGGAGAGGCAAGAGAGAGAGGAGAGAATGATGGAGGGGGGAGGAAGATGATACGAGAGATATGAGATGAGATGGGAGTCGAGATGAGTTCTAAGAAGAGACTTGTTTGTTTGTGTGAGGGAGGAGAGAGAGAGAGAGAGAGATTGATGAGAGAGAGTAGACAGACGGTGAAAGGGAAAGAAAGAAAGAGATGAGATGATGATGAGAGAGGGAGAGAGAGATGAGAGAAGAAAGCTTCGTAAGAGAGAGGATGGGAGAGAGTACACCCAAGGAGCAGACCCTGCTTCGCCCCTATCTCCTCCCCTCCTCCTCCACTTCCTCGCTCCCTCGACGCCGAGGGAGGACAAAGACAGACAAAATAGACAAGAGAATGGAGGAGAAACAAAGGGAAACCAGAGAAAAGATTGTAATGTCCGAAGATCTGCAGTACGGGACGCTGACCGCAACACCACACGCCGAAGGAGGCTGATCCTAGAAGACGACCACCAAGTACGTGTACGCGCCGATGGGAGAGGGATAGGACTGAATCAGGACAACATAGAGCGCGAAGGAGGCCAGAAGAGAGAGGAGGAAGTAGAAAGACGAGGGATCATCGCAGATAAGCGGAGCGGAGAAAAAAGAAAAAGGAGAAAAAAGGCGAGCGATCCGAAGAGGAGAAGGCGAGAAATCGGCAGAAGAGGCAAGGACAGAAGAGAAGGAGAGAAGAGACAACTGAAACCGATGACCAACCAAAAAACAGAACAAAGAAGAAGAGAGAGAGATTGAGAAGAAGAGAAAAGAGATAAGCGTGAGAGAGAGAGAAGAATGGCGAGGAGAGAGAGGGAAGAGGAGAGAAAGACGAAAGACAATGAGAGATGCCGACTGTGAGAAAAGGCAGAGAAGGCGGACAGGAAAAGAGAAGAGGTACGAGAGAGAGGACGGACGAGAGAGAACGGCGAGAGAGAGGAGAGCGGATGGAGAGAGAAGAGGCGAGAGACCGGACAGGATGGGCAGAAAGAGGAGGGAGAGAGGAGAGGGAGAGAGAGAAGAGAGAGGAGAGAGTAAGGGAGGAGGAGAGGAAGGGAGAAAGAGAGAGAAGGGGAGAGAAGAGAGAGAGGAGGGGAGGAGAAGAGAGGAGAGGGGGAGGAAGAGAGGGAAAAGGGGAGGAGAGAGGAGGAGAGGAGAGGGGGAGAGAGAGGAGAGGGGAAGAGAAGGAAAAGGGGGAGAGAGAAGGACGGAGGAGAGAAAAGAGAGGAGAGAGAGGAGAGAAGAGCAGAGGAGAGAGAGAGAGAGAAGAAAGAAGAAGGAAGAGAGAGAGAGAGAGAGAGAGAAGAGAGAGGAGGGAGAGAGGGAGAGAGGGAGGAAGGAGAGGGGGGAGAGAGAGAGAGAGAGAGAGGAGAGGGAGAGAAGAGAGAGAAGAGAGAGAGAGAGAGAGAGAGGAGAGAGAGAGAGAGAGAGAGCGAGAGGAGAGAGCGAGACCGAGAGAGAGAGAGAGAGAGAGAGAGAGAGAGAGAGAGAGAGAGGAGGAGAGAGAGAGAGAGAGAGAGAGAGAGAGAGAGAGAGAGAGAGAGAGAGAGAGAGAGAGAGAGAGAGAGAGAGGAGAGAGAGAGAGAGAGGAGAGAGAGGAGAGAGAGGGGAGAGAGGGGAAGGGAGAGGGAGGGGAGAGGGAGAGAGGAGAGGAGAGGGAGAGAGAGGAGAGAGAGGGAGAGGGAGAGAGAGAGAGAGAGAGAGAGAGAGAGAGAGAGAGAGAGGAGAGAGAGAGAGAGAGAGAGAGAAGAGAGAGAGAGAGAGAGAGAGAGAGAGAGAGAGAGAGAGAGAGAGAGAGAGAGAGAGAGAGAGAGAGATAATAAGAATGTAATTTTGCCCTCACAGTTTCAACTTTTCCTTCTGCTTTACTGTGTACACCATGTACAAAATAGTTTTCCCGCCTACTGTAGAAAATACAGGCCAACCAAACATTCTTCACTCACCATAACAACATTTGCAAGGTTGGTCTGAGCTGTTTGCGCAGTCTGTTGGGTTGTCTGTGGGCTCTGTTGTACTGATCCTGTTTGAGATGCTTGCGAAGTGGATGCTTGTGCTAGCTGGATTAGGTTGCCTGAAATATTCAGTGCTTAACAAACGAAATACATAATTAGTGTATGATTTCCGAAGAAAAATCATCACACAAAGATTCATTTCTACAAACCAGATTTTTTTGATTCGCACATGGTGTATCATGTACAAGACTCCATCAGAATATCAAGAAGAAAATATATTTTCTTTTTTTCTTTTCATTTTCTCTTATTTTTTTGGTTTTTCCTTTCATCATCTTCTTATTTTGTGATACATCTCTTTCTTGTATTAACTTACCATCTGAAAAAAATATCCACAATAAATGGAAAGGCTAACCCTTTTTTCTACTGGTCAAATCAACGTATTCAAGATAGTCTACCAAGTTCTTCTGAAGTCCAGTATACAGACAAAGCATGTGTGAATCATA